CCCCCCCCCCCCGGCGGCAAGGCCACTGGGGCTGCTGGTCCCCAGGTACCCAGGCCAGAGCTCAGTGGGAGGAGGGGACTCGGGCCACACCCCCCAAACCCGGCTTTTCTCGCAGCACTGAGCAGGGTGAGTTGTCCTGGGGGCTCTAAGGAGCCAGGATCCCAGGGGGCAGGCGCCTGCAGCACTGGGCCTGCACTCAGCAGGAGGGAAAGGCACCTGCACATCGCTGCAGAGCAGCCCCTGGTCCCCATGCTGCCCAAAGACCCCAGAATGATAATAAACCTGCCCTCAGAGTGACCTCTGACTTACAAATCCTTCTGGGGTGGAGCATGGAAAAACAGACAGGCGGTGCCTTGCCTGTTCCTCGGCAGAGCAGAGCTGCCCAGCAGTCTGCTACACGGATGGGCACACAGTACACACACACACACACACACACACACACACACACACACACACACACGCACAGCCCTGGGGGAGCCTCGAATGCCAAGGCCAGGGCGGCACAACAGGGGTCCCCGGGCCCTTTGGATACCAGGGGTGCCCGGGGACAGGGTTTCAGCCGTAGCTGCTAGAAGATGGCAGTGTGGGGACACCAGGGTGTGTCCGGGTACAGGTGGCAGTGGATGGAGCGGAACCTGTGGGGACAGAGTTGGGGGCTGGTCCGTGTGGGGTGCGGGTACTGAGCTCACAGCACTGGGGACCCTCTTCCACCCAAGCAGGCTCCTGGTCGTACTCTTTCATCATGCTGCTTAGCTGCAGCAGACCCCAAGGGACCCTAGGTGAGCCCCGCCCCCATCTGGGCCTCCGTTTCCTCACCTGGATGGGTCCGCCTCCAGTGAGAAGGGCCCCTTAATGTGGACAGCATTCCGCTTGTTTTCAAACATGCCGTAGCTCAAGGTCACCTGTAGGGGGAGCGACAGAGTGACGCTGGGAGGGGTGCCAATGCCACCCCACCCTGCCCCTTCCCTCCTCTCCCAGCCGCTCTCCTCTGTCCCCATCCCTTCCTGGGCTGCTAGGCAGCGCACCTGCTCATGGAGCTCGGAGGTGGGGACCTGCTGCAGGTTCTCCAGGTGGGAGTGGAAGAGCCCGCTGCGGATGAGGGGCACGCCCAGCAGAGCCTCCACGATGTAGCCGATGGTGCAGTCGTCCGGCAGCCGGATCCGCTCGGCTGTGCTCATGAAGTGGCCTCCGCTGTGGGAGGGCCGGAGGGCTGGAGTGAGCCGAGGCGGGAGCTGGGCAGGGGCCCACCAGGTAGTGTCACCCTGGCCGGGCCCAAGAAGGAGGTGCACATGCCCGGCCTGTGTGCCTAACGGGCTCTCACGCTGGCAGCTCCCCACCTCCCTGAGCCCCAGGACAGCCCCCTCCTCCGTACCAGCCAGATGATTCTCTGTGAGTTGGGGGTTACCGGACGCAGGAAGGGGTCCTGCTCAACCTGGGTGCTGACCACCCTGGTGGCTGTGGGCAGTGGTGGGACGACTCACCCTGCCAGTACACGTGAGGTTGGGGACACTGGTGCTGGGAAGATGAGTCAAGCCAGGCCCCCAGTGGGGGGACCTTGCGGTCTGCGGCAGCCTCGCCTGTGCCCCAAGGCACCCACTCACCTGGCCCAAGGGCTCATCTTCAGGGCCAGCCCCCGGCTGATGCAGAAGCCAGCCCCGCCGGTGGCAAACCAGAAGTGGACGGGCCGCTGCGGGAGGGGGCACATGGTGAGGCTCCCAGACCCTTCCCCCGAGGCTGCAGGGACACCTCCAGCCCCCTCCCTGCTCGGCGCAGGCCTGTGTGGGCGGAACACTCACCACCTTGCTCTCGCTGACCCTCTCTGTGGCCTGGATGGGCCTGTCCAGGCTGGGCTTGCCAAGGTAGATGTCCTGCGTGTGCGGGTAGCTGGCCAGCAGCCTCAGCAAGGCCCGCACGTTCACGTAGTTATCATCATCCACGTGGCAGAACCACCTGGGGCGAGGCAGGGCCAGTCAGGGGGGCGTGCGGGGGCGGGGGGACCGCCAGGGCGGGAGCCCGAGGAGGGGACGCTCCCGGGCCCCAGCCAAAGGCCAGCACTCACTTCCTCCCCGATTCGATGAAGCGGTCATACTCCACGGCCATCTTGCAGGACAGCGCCTGGCGGCTGTGGGCAGCCGAGCAGTTAGTATTGACCACGTTGCCTGCGGACAAGGGGAGGGGCTGTGAGTGGGTCCAAGATGGTTCAGCGAGGGCGGCCTGGCCCAGGGTCACACAGCAAGCCCTGTGAGAGCAGAGCAAGAGAGGGTGGGTGGCAGTCTGTCTCGGGGCGCCCTGGGTTCAAGCCGTGCCTACGGTGGCCTCCCCCTCAACCCCTCCCTCGAGCAGGACCCAGGCCCGGCGATCTCACCCCCCCAGCCCAACCCCCTCCTAGGGGCCCCGCCCCGCCCCTGCCCATTCAGGCGGCTTTTTCCCAGCACCAGCCACCTGTTGCCGCCACACCAGCTCAAAGGGCCCCGGGCGCTGAAAGGGCCTCATTTGCATGAGAATTGGGCGGGGGGGGGGCGAGTGGTGGGGCGGAGCGTTGAGCAAACCCCTTGAGTAAACTGCCCTCCCAGGCCCGTGGCCTCGGTGACCTCTCCAGAGGGGAGGGTTTCCTCTGGGCGGGAGCCCCCCCTAGCCTCCCCACGTCCAGGGCTCACCCGTGCGCCTGGCCAGGGCTTCATCTTCCCCGTCCGTGAAAATGTACGTCTGCAGGGAGAAATACGGCCTTGAACAGGCAGCTCTGTGCCCCGGCCACCGTGGGGTCCAGGGCTGGGCACCCTGCGGCTTCACAGGGATCCTTCAGTCACACCCGTGCCCCACCTTTGAGCCTCAATTTCCCCACATGCAGAGTGGGGCTCAAGTGCCTACCCTGAGTGGAAGTGGGCTGGGGGCCCAGGAAGACCCCACCCCCTACCTCGACAGCTGGGCCCAAGGTCAGCCGGCAGCTGCGCCGGCACGAGCCAGGTGCGGTGCCCCGCCCACCCGCCAGGTAACCGGCTCCCGGCTGTCCTGCACACCTGGCGGGGCACACACCCTTATTGACACAGTGCCCAGCCTGTGGGAGGGGCGGAGGGTGGAGGGGGCAGGCGGAGGAGGTCCGCTTTGGGAAGCCAAGTCTCAATCAGTTGGGGACAAAGGCCTCTGCTGGGCGGCCGCCAAGCACTGGCGGACAAAGGGCCCGGAGGGAGGATGAATCACCAGGCGTTGTCCGCCAGCTTTGTCCTGGGCCTCGCTGTGAGGGGAACTCGGCCGCATTAAGCGGGAGTGGCCGCACAGCCCATTACCATACAGCTGGCCTGGTTAACTGGGCCGGGCTGGGCACAAGGTCCGGCGGGCTGGGGTGTGGCCACAGCCCTGCAGTCCTCCGGGCTGGGACCTCAACACCGGGGCCTCCCTCGCACCCCTGGCTGCGTGACCAGCCAGTGCAGCCGGTCACCTTCTCTGAGCCAAAGCAGCCTCCAGGGTTCTAAGGAGACACGGTCCGCAGGGTTGAGGCGGGAAACCTCACGTGCCCCAGCGCAGGAATCAGTGGCCCCAGAATCCATGCAGCCTAGCAGCCCCGCCTGCTGCGTGCCCTGCTCAAGGCCACATCAGGGCTCCACCTGTGCCAGCACGGGGCCACCCCTGCCAGGATCGCTCCGCGGAAGAGGGGGGTCCAATGGGGAGGGGCCAGGAGCTGCCAGCGCCCGCCTGGGCCCGTTGGCACATGGGGAGGAATGTTCCTTTTCCTCTGCCCGGCCCGCCCAGCACATGCCGCCCAGCACACCCAGGCGTGGCTGAGTGCAAAGCCCAGGCCCGGTGGAGGGTGCTGGGAGCACAGGCAGCGGAAGACCCCCCACCTCCGTGCCCACCAGGCCTCGGTTTCCTTCTGTGTACAAACGGGTGCAAGGGAGGGGCCGGTGTGTGCAGGCCTGGCATACAGCACGAACCCAGCGACCTGGCGCACTCACCTGCGGTGCCCACCCTCAACTGGCAGCCCCAGCTCCTTGCCCAGCCTGAGCCCAGACCCAGGCACACTCTCAGTGAGGTCACAAGCTGGCTGGGCCTAGAGAGAGCTAAGGGAGGTGGCAGGCTCCTTCCACGCCCTCTCCACGCACGCACCCCCTCCTTCCAGAGCAGACACCCCAGGGCAACCCGCACGCACAGACTCGCATCCAGCGCCCCCACCCCGCCAGCCAGCATC